AAAAAAAAAAAAAAAAAAAAAAAAAAGATTACATTTCTTCTATGTCCAATATCTACGTAAATACTGTCTAATTTTATTTGGTTAGGCCCTAGAGACTATAAGTTTTGTATCAAAGTTTCAATAAGTATGTAGACGTAGACATTCTAAGACAACAGTTTCAAGCAATCTTAAACATCATAAAGTTTCCCAACAAAGTTTCACAAATGATTTTTATTTCATCTAAAAACAAAACACTACCTACTACCTAATGTTACTGCCAACTTATTTATATCCTAATAAGAACATAACGTAATCTTACTAATATTATAAATGCGAAAGTTTAGATGGATGGATGGATGTTTGTTAGAGTTTGTGGCCTAAACGGCTGAACGGATCTCCATGAAATTCGGCACAGATGTAGAACATAGTCTGGAAGAACACATCGGCTACTTTTTACCCCGGAAATAGTTACGGTTCTCGTGGGAGTCATTAATTTAGTTTTTTAATGTTTACTCGATTATTCTGCAACGGTTCAACAAATCTTATTGAAATTTGGCACAAATATAAAACAAAGTCTGGAGTACACATGGGATACGTAGCTTTTTGTTATTTATATAGTTCGTATGTTTTCTAATACCACGCGGACGAAGTTGCGGGTAACAGCTACTAAGAATATATTTGGAACTAAGTTTTTAATACGATTAGAATGATTGGCCAGTTTTAGAGTTCAAATGAGCTTCATAAATTTAATAGCGCAAGCAATTCATTCATTGTTTTATTTCTGTAAGAGATACGTGACTAGTTAGCGGTAAATACCGGTGAGACAAGTCCTATTATTGTTATATCCGTAATACAGAATCAGTCAATACGTCACTAAATAAGGCCTTTACACAGGCAGTAATACGTTAATTACTTATTTAATTCTAATGCAAATCTTCAGTACGAACAAAATTCTGTTTAAGAGATCTCTTAATTTCTTCTTCTCGAATTTGAATTTCAATATATTTGATAAAAAAATCTCTCGACAATCAAACATTTCACTCAGAAAAATACACGCATGAATGAGAAATTCTAATCCGATATTTTTTCGCGCGCACATCTTTTAAATCTGTATATTAGTACATGGTCGCGGATAAAAGAGCTACAAATATATCGAATAAAAACAGGATGTTATACGGAAGTTGTGGGTGTATTATCAATTATGTGCGAATTTCGATTTGAAGGACATCGATGTTTTAATTTTAAAACAAATTCCTATATACTAAGTTGAATGCACTCAAAGTAATAATGTAAGCAACACACGATAGATTGTAGAACATTACGGACAGAAATAACAGCTTCATCTATACATATAATAAAATTGAAGTGTCTGTTTGTAATATCAAAAGAAAAAACTCCAGATTTCGGGAAGATGATGTATTTGCGTTACATCTTAGCACGAATGGGCCGGCACGCCCGGTGTAATACCACGACCACACAGAAGACAGGCGTGAAATGGAAGCAATTCCGTGTTTCGTCTGATGTGAGTGTGGTGCCGGAGGCCTAATTTAAGCCCCTTTCCCTTTACCAACCTTTTCTTATAAAGAGAGGTTGGGAAGAGGAAGCGGATTTGACGGTGGAGGAGATGCATAGGAAGGGGAAATATCCTCTTTATGTGCGTTTCCTCCTCCGTCGGATAAGGGTAGGCAACGCATCTGCAATTGCGGATGTCTATGGGCAGCGGTCGCTTCACCATTTTGGCGATTTCAGGTGGCCGCTTGCTCGTTTGCCACCTTATGTTATAAAAAAAAATGAAGTTCACTGCTTTACACAAATTTGATATTTACAATATAATTAATCGATGATAACTAAAATCAAAATTATTATCAAATTCAGTAGTAGTTAGTAACTTATTTAACTCAATTCTAACTTTGTAAATGATTCTATGTTGTACTGACGAGATTTATGCTCACAGCCTAAATATTTCTGCCGTCGCCATTACGAGGACCAACGTGTGATTAAGTTTGTATTTATGAATGAATTTACTGTTATTTACATGCATGCAATTACAAGTAAAATTACATAAAATTATGATACGTTGAAATTGTAGAGATGATTCTCGAAATAGATTACATTGATAAGGAAAAACTTTGTAAAGTCAACTTGTCTATCATTTAACTGCATTGGACAAAAATAACTTGGTTAAAAAATTTGTCCTCAAACCAACTAAAAACTAGAGATACTCTTAGAATGTACCAATTTTTAGATTTATTTATTAAAATTGACTTGAATAAAGAGATATAATTAATTAAAACTGTTGAAATATACTTTTTTATATAAAATCTACGTAGATTTTTTTTTAAAATCTTACTATATAAAAGCGAAAGTACAGATGAATGGATGGATGTTATAGTTTGTAGCCCAAACGGCTTACCGGATCTCGATAAATCATAGACGCAAAGAATAATCTAGAAGAACACAGGCTATTTTCTTTTGTTTACTATAATTTCAAGCGGACGGAGTCGCGGGCGATAGTGTACTAATATTTCTTTTAACCATACAAGGTAAGTTTGAGAAAGCTTGTGCTAGGATTTGGTTCACAATAGTCGAATAGGATTGGAACTCTCGACCTCAAGATCGGTAGTGCCTACCCCAAACCATTAGGCTATTGGCTAACAAGCTTAAGGAAGAGCGAGACGCGACAAGTTAACATTTTTAAAACATAAAACAAAAGAAAGTATGAAACAATTGACGACTGATAGATATTAGTATATACTGTACAATCTTACAGTTAGGATAGGACAAGGGCAGGTTCATTACGACATATAACAAAATAGTAACGTGGACATCCAATTCGGTCTTCATATAACCTCAATAAACATGATATAAAAGGCCTCGGTTTTATATCAACTGACAATTATTGCTGTTGGCAATGTGTAGTGTATTAAACTGCTAGTGGCCGTGACATTGCCACTTCTACGAAGATATATAATTTCAATTTTATTCAAAAAAACCGAAAGAGTTACCAATATAAACTTGCAGTCCTTTCGGTAGATGAAACCCATGTTTACAGAGAGATATATAAAAAAGTGAAAATACTTCAACTCCATTGATAATTTTGCAATCGTACGTTTATTTTATACTGCCTATCCGTTATTAACTGGTACACTTCTATTCAAATATCTTGGCGGCTCCTGGTATTGCGTTATGCAGTCCCTTCCTATTGCGTTTTGAATATAGACTTGACTAATGTATAAAGCCACCAAGATGTTTACTACTGGGATTATTCCCAACCGTCACCCCGCTCTGTCGCCACGCGAGAATAAAGTTTCATCCGTCCCATTATCACCAGTAAGGTGACAGATGAAACTGTTATAAGTTCCAACCGTCTCCTCGCCGCAAAAGGTGAAACGGATGAAGCTTTTATTCTCACCTGTCTCCAGGTTGGGACAGAGCGAGACGGTTGGGACTAATCCTGCTACTGTAACTAACCTCGTTTAATCGTTTTTTTTTTTTAATTTATTATTTTATATTATTGAACTAATACATTAGTAATACCTAGTTTTTTTTTTAAATGGTGTAATAGCACAAAACTGTATGAATTCTCAATGTTCGGAATAATAGGCGCATTTCAAAACCAAAAATAAAAGTCCCAGTTCGCCGGCCTTCACCTAAATGTACTGTTTAACGTCTGCTGCGAAAATAATCTTGTTTTACCTTATTCTGTCGTACCTAGAAATGATCATGTCTTAGATCGTTAGTAAGCATACTTTTTCAATGAATTATCTACTTGCCCTTGTCCCTTATTGAGGGTCGGCACAGTATGTGCTGCTTTTCCATACATCTCTATCAGCCGTCATATCTGAATCCACTCCTTTCTTAAGCATATCCTCTTTCACACAATCCATCCATGCTTTCTTCGGTCTTCCTCTTCCTTTGTAGCCATCCACATTAATTCTTAATACTTCCAGGTTTATGTCCCCATCGTCTCGTCGCATAACATGTCCATACCACGCTAACCTTTTGCTTCTTAATTTCTCCACCACTGGCGCTACTTTCAAACTTCCTCAATATACACATTCTTAACTTTATCCATTCTTGTCACACCACACATCCATCTTAACATACGCATCTCAGCCACATGCAATCTCCTTTCATCCGCAACTTTGGTGGCCCAACATTCAGATACATACTTATTCAATAAGTAACGAAAATAAATAAACGACAGTAATTATTATTTATTTAGATTAGAAAATCGAATTGTTTACAAATGCATAGATTAAAAAACACGAGGTTTTCAGATTAAAAATAAAGTCTTAAAAAACTGAATAACTAATTAAAAATTCGGCTTCACTTTACCGGATATATAAGGTAAATTAAAACACATAATTTAATTATAACCCATTTATTCCAATTTCCTTAAGAAATCGAGCAATCTGAAAAAAATAAAAAAATGCATTAAACACCTATGCACAATAAAAAATTCTTTGTATGCTCGTTTGTATGTGTGTATTGTGTATTATGACTGCCTGTTGCCTTAACGATTGAACTGATTCTGGTGTACATTTGTTAAAAGCAACATTCCAATAGGTAGAAGGAGGTTATCAATTCGTTTGTATTTTTTTCATGTGTTACCGCATATCTTCAGATCTTCGCTGACACTGACTTCAAAGTCACATTATTGGTTGTATTTACAACAAAGAACTTTTCTGTCTTTCAAAGTTATTCAGGATGATGTTTTGTTAATTTTGAGTGAATTTGTTTTAATTGCTGCTTTTTATATGGAAGTCCGTTTTTTTAGAGTATTAGATGGCTAGCGGAATTCGCCAATTTTTTTTTTTATTTTATTACTTTTTTTTATTTCTGTATAGATATGTAATTAGTACGGCCGGTTACCCTAGTGATTAAGATGTATGTTACTTGAGTGCGAAGGAGCCAGCTGAAAATCAGCGCAGGAACGGCTTAGTCCGTCCTGCATACGCTGAGCTGGCTACCTTTTGCCACGAATATGTCACCTTTAGAATAAGTCTTTGTTATCTAATTTCTATTTTGTGGCAATAAATGCATTTTCATTTCATTTCATTTCAAAATAGCAAAGCGATTCGCATTTGCAGATGCATAGACGTATTAACACCTTCGATTGTACAGTCCACTCTGTTTTGGTGACCTAATTAGATGCAGTTATACCTAGTATTTACCTGGGTTTTAAGGTGTTGGTGATGCCATAGCGATGGCAGTCAACTGGGATACGATGCTCCCAGCGGCTACGTTGCCATAGTAGGCTTGAGCGGCGGCGGCGGTGCTGCCTGCTACAATGCCGCCGCTACTAAAGCCCAGCATTGGCGCAACCCATGCCGCGCCGAGTCCGCCAGTACCGTATATGATAGCACCGCCTATGGCGTTGACCGCGATTGCCGATAACAGGCCCATGTTAATCTGAAACAGGGATATGTCGAATTTAATATTTGACTCTTATTTTTATTTAGTACTAGTTTTCGCTCGCGACTCCGTTCCCGTGGAAATTAAAAAAAAAAGATTAGCCTGTGTTCTTCCAGACTATCCTACATACATACCAAATTTCATCGAAAACCGTTCAGCTGCTTAAGCGACAATATCTAATATCTATCCATCCGTCTAAACTTTCGCTTTTATAATATTAGTATGATAGTATATCAGCCTTTCAACTTTTTTGGTACTATATAAACGATCACCTTTTTTCTGTTCCGATGTTTTTATAGCCTAAAGAAGCTACATATACTTATACATTTTTTGCTTTTCTTAAAAAAAAACTATCTTGCCATGAAGTGTTTAATTAATTAAATAAAAAAGCTCTATTTTAAATCCACCCTTCATCCTTTCTGCTTTATAGCCATGCATATTTAAACAAATTACTTTATTATGTGCCTGTCTTCGCATATGTTTATACCTTGGACATAAATGTAGATCGTGGTTATTAAAAAGTATAAAATACTTAAACTAAATAGGTACAAGGTAATGTTTATGACTAAGTACTTATATCGTTAATATTGAAATAATAAAAAAATAGGAACGCTTGAATTCAAAAATTCCTTTGGCAGATATCAGGCTATATTTCTTTTTTAATTTACAGTTAATATTAACTACTTCGGAAAACCATATTAATGGTAGCCACGCCTAAGTTATGACGCAGTAATAGTAATTGTTCTCTAATTATACATTGAAAATTGCAATATCTATCGTTAAGATCTAATAAATGAATTATACTAATACTGATATTATGCGACACTTTATGATAGATAGATGCAAGGATGGATAGATGTTTGTTAGAGTTTGTAGCCTAAACAGCTGAACGGAACTTGATGAAATTTGGCATAGACGTGGATGATAATCTAGAAGAAGCCTTTTGTTTTTTTTTATAATTCCACGCGGATAGAGTCACGATCTAAAGCTAGTATGAGTAAAAAAATCTATATGTTAGCACAAGTTAGAACTAAACGCATGCGTTGGCTTGACGCCATTTGCAATACGTCTAGACTAGCAAATGGCGCAAACATACGATTACGCTACTTTGCTAATAAATTCTGGCAGGGAATATCAATACAAAAATCAAACAAATAAGAAACAACAAAAACATTGCAATAATTGTCATTTCCTAATATTGCAATAATTTTGCAGTATTAGTACCGCTGTAAATAGCGATATCATTGTTATAAGGCATTAAGTATACACTATTTAAAAATTCATATGATAATCTACAAACATTTCTATCAAATGATTCTACTTTTTATGTAAATTGATAAAAAAAAAACACTAACCTTTTCAGATTCTTCGTAGACGTCCTAAAACTGCACTTTACACAATGGTAGTGACAGAGAAGCAAGGTTCAGACTTCTATTTATAGCCTCGTATAAATCGATGTGCATCGAGTGTTGGCATTTGCATATTCCATATTTTCCCTAGAATACTTGTATCACATTTGTTATGTGATAGCTTTATACATATTGGTATATCATGTTTTGTATCGGTTTATTGTTTAATTTTAACCTAAATAAAGATCGTATACCTTTACAAATTTAAATACTTGTTATTTGATTGAAAGTAAAGATGATTTCTTTTGCATTTTTATTTTTACTTTTGTAAAAAATACATGAAATAATAAATTACAGCCATGAGAATGGAAAAATATATTTAATACAAACTTTTGTATTCCCTGTTAATATTTGTTCTAAAGATTTTCGGAATTATTAACAAATAATCAACAACACAGCCACAATTTATGTTTCTTTTTGTAGACTCAAATATTTTCAATTGTTAAATTATTTTTTATCTATTCTTATATTTATAATAACATTAATATAAAACCTCCCTTTATAAAAACCTCTTCTCGTTAAAGTAAATTTACCCACAAATGTGCTAACTTTATGTCTAGTGGCAACACTTCAAAACTCGGGGAAACCCAGATCATTATTCAATTTCTAGAATATTCTCTCTATCTAACAATGTGAGCTCAGAATTTATTCGAGTTATAAGTAATTACTATAAATGTAATTTTTATAATTACTTAAAGTATCAATAACTTCATAGTTTTTATTTATGCATAAGTTATCTGTACAATTAATTATTCATGCTAGCGCCATCTTTTTTTCGTTTGATGTAACACAGTTTTAACAAAACATTAAATGAAACAAGAATATTCTGAGGTATGTCTAATATAAATGAATATTATGTACGCTTTATCTTATATTTAAAATATTAAAGAAATCCCTGATTCGATTAATTACAGTTAGAAGAGTCGTATCTGTTTTTTTAAATGTTAATTAGTAGAGCCATCTGTTGAATGAAATGTTCTTTACGAATATTTGCTAAATATTTACGAATGTTATTCATACGTATACGACAGATGGCAGGGTTTTATCTGTATTCATGGACTCTATGGTTAGGGATTTTTGATTATTTCTTTTTGAATTGCGATTTAACTATCAAGGGGGCACAAGAGGGCAGCTGTCCTTCCGTAGAAAGTCGAAAATTTAAACAAAAACATTTTTACTACTAGTCCCATATATCATCTGCCCATAATAAACTGGTAGAGTCTTGTATTATCTGTGGTAAAACTTTGTAATTAAGATAAGCTACGGGCACTTTTAAATGTGAAGAAGTCAATGACCTTTATAATGCATATTCTAGTTAAAATAAGGTCGTCATGGTTTCACGGATGGCTACCCCAGTTCCAGTAATGAACACTTTTTGTACAAACCGGATATATTATTAATCAATTCGTTCTTGAAAAATCATATTCTTTTAATAAAACAAACAACAAAACAGTCGGTTATTAAAATAAGTCTACAAGAAGTCGCCTTTCTGTTGAAAATTGTTCATATCACTTCATATTCAATTGTTTTTTAAATTATTGATTAAAAAAAACTATATTTACTTTTTGTACACATAAACGTTGTCTTTATACGTTAGCGCGATTTTCTTAAAAAGGGACAAGAAGATTTCCCGTCAGCTATGAATTACATATTACTAACTTTCGCATGCGACTCCTTCCACATGGAATTAAAAAAAATCAAAAGCAAGCTACCTATGTGTTCTTCTAGACTATTCTTTATATCTGCCAAATTTCATCGACATCTTTTGAACAGTTTAAGCAACAAAGTGTAACAAATCCATCTAAAGCTTCGCGTTTATGATATTAGTAAGAGTAAGATTCTTCAGTCTCGCCTTTTCCCAGTTATTTGGGGTCGGCCTTCCTCGTCCTACAGACATCACCATTCTTAGAGACTTGTTCATCAAGGTTGATTTCCTTCATATCCTTTTGGATGAACGTCAGCCGATGGTAGGTAGTCTCTCGCGAGTTCGCGTCATCGATGGTATGTTCAAGACCAACTTCACCAAATGATCTTATGATTCTGAACATGCCCATGGCCATGTTCACAACGTAGATGTTCTCTTTTGTTTTTCCTGGAATAGGAGCGACTTCCTTCCTCTAACATGTGTGTGTGATGTAATTATGTGTATATTTTAATCGTTTCTTGTTGGTAACAAGACAATATATCAATCAAGCAATCGATCTTGCTAAGCCATTATGTACGCAATTACGCAATTACGTAAATCTGTGTGTAAAACATTTAAAGATGGACACACGATACCATTGTTACGGTTAGTCTCACTAGTATTTACCTTCATATAATGTACATAAGTATATGTAAATACGTAATCAATAAATACATTTATTAAACTACTATAACTCGATATCATTAATCATCAACTCCCCTGCCTTATCCTACTCCCGTAGGGTCGGCGCACCGGGTTTTTGTCCTCCAAAGCACTCTCATCCGTCATCTCAGTCATCACTCCCTTCGTGATCATGTCACCTTTCACGCAATCCATCCATCTTTCTAGGTCTACCTCTAACTCGATAATTTCTGCAAAAATAATACCAATTCATTCATAAAAAATATTCAAAAATCATCCATTTTGTAATTTCTCCCATTGACCGCAGCTCTCTTTCTACATATATCTAAGTTATCTCTAAGGAAAAGTACAGCCATTTCGGTTATTACCCGGAACCGGTTATAGGTGGACAGATCATAAATCATAATAATAATTCGACTTACAAATACCATCTTGCTAATATAATTTCGAAAGTTTATATAAATGGATGATTTGTGAGAGTATGTAGACTAAATTTGGCATAGATAGAATACATAGGCAACTTACTTTTTTTTCCACACGGGCGGAATTGCCTCCGAAAATAAGTATTACAGATTTAAAATTAGTTAAATGTATTGAAATAAATTGAACACTGTCAATACAATTTAAGCACTTAGGGTATTCCCCTTGAGATTGTATGATGCCAATTAATACCAATAGAGGTCGTTATACACAATTGAACGAAAAAAACCATTCGATTCAATTGAATGGCTGCAAATTACTTTTTACATAAACAGTTTTTGTAATAAAGTAAAACTTTTTGTATGCGTTGCCTTGACTTGTCCGACGATGTTTACAATGTTACAAATGAACTTGTATTGGATAGATGGATGTGATCCGTGGAAATAAAAAGAACTCGTTGTTTTTCTCTTGTTATAAAACTACCTCTTACAAAAACAACTTTTTTATAAGAGAAAGGGGCTAACGAGCGACGGGAACACAGAGGTGGTTAACGACGCCCAGTTCATCCGCAACACCAGAGGAAGTACAGATGCGTTGCCGGCATTTAAGGAAATTGTAGGCTCGCTTCTTGAAGGACTATGTCGTATTGGTTTGGAAATATCGAGGAATCTTTTATTCGTCTATGTTCAAACAAAACTAATTTAAAAAAAAATCCAAATATAATCGTCGACACATTTGAATAAAAAAATCAACCACCTTACAGGGATATCGACAAACAATGACTTATTCGTGTGTAATCCCAATTCGTAAGGTAAAAGAGATATAGAGCTGCTGAAAATAATTGAACATGCTAGTATCCTATCAATATGAACTCCTTAGTCAATTGGTTATTCCAGAATTCTCAAGATAATGCCATTAAACATTTAAATAATGGAAGATGTTTTCCTCAAAGATCTCGTTAGGCCGTCCTCAAAGATTCAAAGACTCAAAGATCAAGTTGATTGACATTGCCTTCATGTATAAGGCAATATGAGTTTCAATTGCATTACCAAAACATGTATAGTGCGACAAGCTTAACTGGCCCGGTGATAGGTAACGCGCAATCAGATCAAAATATCTATGATCCGAAATTCTAGCCCACTATGTAATACCGACATCATTCTTTTCTATGTCTAAAACATGTAATATAGACATAGTAAATATAAAAGAAATTCATGATTAGTCAGCTACTATACTAGCAGGACCTTGTAACATTGGACACATGGCGCTAGTGAGCTGTCATAATTTAGTTTGACTTATGCCCGGGTCAAACAATTTGTCGATCTATATTAGTGCGTACACCTAAAACTAAACTACCGCACAACTGCTTAGTCTCGCTTATTTGGAAGTGCGCACACTACTCGATTTTTAGTTCTGCGACTAAACAGTTGAATTGGCTGCGAAACAATCGACAATCGCACATCAATTGTGCGAGGTTTCGTCAAAAGTCTGCCCCCGCTCTTAATTAACGTGTCCCGCTTTATGTCTGCAGTCATACCAGTCAGCTGTCGAGATATGAAAAAGAAAAATAAATCAATTAATAGATGAGTACTTGAATCATTTCGGTTAAATGCTTACTCTCAATGTAATCTATAGAGACAGACAGAAAATTTCAATTTAGATCCATCTGTTTCTTCCGCATGCTTGTTAGTTGCGTTGGTGTTGTAATTGGTATAATGTTATTCAAACTTTATTGTGATATCAATTACACACAGGATCGCAGAACACAATTATCAATATTTAAAAATGAAATAGTCTAACAAAATGCGTCACATTGATGCAATTCCGTTCATATTGCATTGTCTGGTTCACAAGTTGGTATTACCTATCAATTATATCGCAGTGAGTTAAGAAGCACTTAGACGCGGCATAATCAATTTTATTAGTAACACTTGTAAGAGTTATTTATAGATCCATAGTCAGAAGTGATTACAATGGGGATTGTTTTTTCCCAAAAAGTTATATAGGACTAGCTGTTCCCGTGCGGCTTCGTCCGCATAAAATTATAAATAAGCTTTATTTTATCGTTACATTTGTCAAATTATCAATTGCAAATGTCAAAATGACATGACATGATAACAATCAATGGCAATCTTGCTTCCTTGATGTTGGCAGCAACTTATGGTCTCTATCCCACATTAGGGTTTTTATCCAAAATATTTACCTGCTAAGTTTAATGGCGTAAAAATATATTGCC